AAACTTAACAAATGAAAAATATTCAAAGTTTCTCCCTTTGATGAATCTCACTAAGAGAGGCTCAACATTTCTACTTAAATTTTTTTTCTTGAGAGAAACACGATTGTAGTCAATGCACACTCTTGCTCTGAAAAAAAAGGGCAAAAGGGAAAGCGATTTCAAGTTTCATATTTGATATATGGAATTTAAAACTGTTAAGAATATTAGGGTAGTATGTGTAAATTGTTAATAGTAAGAGGGTATATGTGTAATTCTTATTATTGTGAGTTAACTATAAATACAAGTGATGTATGTGACCTATTACTCTCTAATATTGTGTTAATCCTATACACTTAACATGATATCAGAGTAATTACAATCCTAAATATATTCTTTGAATAAATTAAGCTACGGTAGTGGTGGTGATACAGTTGTTGTAGTTGATCTCTGCTACAGTGGTGGTGGTGATCTGTGTTGTTGTGTTATTATGGTGGAGATCTGTGTTGTTCGTCGAACCTATGTTGATCTGTGGTGTTGACTTCGTCGTCGTGGGTAGCATCGTGGTGGTCTGTCGTTCATTGTGGTGGTCAAGGCATAGCATAGTGGTTCGTCGGACCTGTGTTGATCTGTGGTGTTGACTTTGTCGTCGTGGGTAGCATCGTGGTGGTCTGTCGTTCATTATGGTGGTCAAGGCGTAGCATAATGGTTCGTCGTTGGTTGTGGTGGTCAAGGCGCAACGTGGTGGTCGTTCATTGTGGTGGTGCGTAATCAAAGAAGTTTAGGGTTTACTGAAACCCTAACGATGAAGAAGAAGAGGTCCAGACCCGAAAAAGGTCCAGACCCGACTTCGGTTCAAATCCAATCAGACCGGATCAATCCCGGTTCAGCTAGCTTTAGATCGGTTCAGTCAATGGTACCTCTGGTTTAACGGTCTAGTAAGGTCCTGTGACCCGGTTCAGACATTGTTGCACTGGTTCATACCGGTTTAGTCAAGTTTTACTCCAGTTTAGTGGTCCAGCGAGCCTAGTCTGCCTGGTTCAGACTTCCAGTAGCCTCAGTAAGGCTAATTTAATGGTCCAGAGGGCTAAACCAGTCCAGTTCAAGCTTCCAGTAGCCTCAGCAAGGCCGGTTCAGTGATCCAGAGGACTAAACCAGTTTGGTTCAGCAGTTCTCTAGGTCGGTTCAGCCTTCCAGCAGCCTCTTTTTCCTCCAATTCAGCACTTAACACTTCTTATTTTTTTTTATTTGCTGCACTATGGAACCCAAACAAGATGTTATTGCTTCCATACCTGGGTCGGCTCCGCCACATACTAGATTGGTTACTATTACATAAGAGGAGTATGCCCAATTCTTATCCCAACTGGTTGTTCCATCTCCATCCACTACTACTTTTGCCCAATTCAGGTAATGCTTCCACTTGTTTATTATCTTTCACTCGCAGTCCCTGGATCATAGACTCTGGCGTTTCTGACCACATGACTAGTGTGTCTGATGTTTTTTCTACTTATCAGTCTGCTACTTCTACACGTAGTGTTACTCTTGCTAATGGTACTTGTGCTAAAGTTTTAAGTTTGGGGACTAATCACTTGAGTCCTGATATGTCCCTATCTTCCGTATTATTTGTTCCTCAGTTTTCTTTTAATTTACTTTCTATTAGCAAGATTACCTATTTTCTCAATTGTTCTGTAACTTTTTATCTTTCTTATTGTGTCTTTCAGGATCTCAAGACGAAGAGGAAGATTAGTACGGGGCATGAAGCTGGTAGTTTATATTACTTTGATTTTGATTCACTTACTCTGGCTCTATAAACCTCGTTATCTCCCTTTCAATGACATTGTCGTCTTGGACATCACTCTCTCCAAAATTTAAAGCGTCAAGTTCCCAATCTTAGTTCTGTGTCGTCTTTGTCTTGTGAAGCTTGTCAACTTAGTAAGCATCACCATGTGTCATTTTAGTCTAGAGTCAATAATCGCATGTCTAGTCCATTTGAGTTGGAACATTCTGATGTATGGGATCCAATAAAGAATATTTCATCTAATAAATATCCATATTTTGTGTCATTTGTGGATGAATATTCTCGTGTGACTTGGTTGTTTTTTATGAAAGCTCGGTCTGAATTATTCTTTATATTTTGAGACTTTTAGTAAGAAAATAAATACTCAGTATGGTTGTCGTATACAAATTTTACGTTCTGATAATGCTCGGAAATATAAATCTGATCCTTTTTCAACTTATCTTAGTAAAACTAGCATTATTCATCAGACTTCCTGTGTTAACACATCTCCTCAGAACAGTGTTGCTGAACGCAAGAACCGTCATTTGGTGGAAGTCACCCGTGCCCTGTTATTCCAGATGAATATTCCCCAATATTTTTGGAGTGATGTTGTTCTTACTGCTTGTCACCTTATTAATCATATGTCATCCTCTGTGTTAAATGGACAAAGTCCATATTCAGTCATTTTTCCTAATAAGCCCTTATTTTTCATAACTCCTTAGGTTTTTGGATGTATCTGTTATGTTCACAATTTAGGTCCTGAGTTTGATAAACTTGACCCTCGAGCTACCAAATGTGCATTTCTTGGTTATTCTCTCACACAGAAAGGGTATCGTTGCTACAGTCCTTCTCTACAACGATACTTTACTAGTGCTGATGTCATTTTTGAGGAATCTGTTCCATATATTTCAGCACCTTCTCAGCCTTTGGATCTGGACTTTAGGTCATCTCTTCCCTTATCTTCAGATATTTCACTGCCCACTGTGTTACCATCTACTTTACCTCTTCGTGTATACTCTCATTGTCCTCGACCATCGACTGAGGTGCCCGTACCGTCTTCTTTGCCGCCTTCTAATTCTGGTCCATCAAGTAATTTAGACTCTTTACCTATTGTTCTTCGAAAAGGTACTCGTTTGTGTGTTACTAATGATCTCATTGCTAAAAAACAATCTGTGGTAGCAACATCCAATGTTAAAGCTGAGTATAGGGCAATGACACATACGACGAGTAAGTTGACTTGGCTACTACACTTTCTCTAGAAAATTGGGTTTTCAGTTCAACTTCCTTTACAGTTGTTCTGTGATAACCAGGTAGTCATCCATATCGCTGTCAATCCGGTGTTTCACGAGAGAACCAAACATATTGATGTTGATTGTCACTTTATTCGGGACAAAGTAGTAGCTGGGGAGATTACAACTCCATTTGTGAAATCTGAAGATCAGTTTGCAGATATGTTTACCAAAGCATTGAATCGTACACGTCTTACAGCGATTTGTTCCAAACTTGAATTATATGATATATATAGTTTAGTTTGAGGGAGATGTTAAGAATATTAGGGTAGTATGTGTAAATTGTTAATGTAAGAGGGTGTATATATAATTTTTATTATTGTGAGTTAACTATAAATACAAATGATCTATAAGCACTAGGTTAAGTTTTTGACCTCTCTCTGATATTCTCTAATATTGTGTTAATCCTCTATTCTTAACAGAAACCATTGAGCAACTTATAGAAAGGGGGAGAGATGTGGCCAATTTACAGTAATTTCATCCATCTAAACTTGGGGCAAATGCATTAATTTCTCCACTTAATCCATCAAGCTTAATTTTATCAGTAACATTGTCACCAATCTTGCCATCACTATAGATAATTGACCCTAAATATAGAAAGTATTCACCGGTGTTCTCTTTGTATTAAATTTCCATACCACATAGTCATTTTACTTTTACTCCAATTAAACCCATCTAATTCTAAAACCTCCCTAGATACTTTAAATCTATTGTTGTTCATTAAACAATACTATGATGATGTCATGTGAACTGCTAGAAACATGTGAAATGTATAACTAATCCTATAATGAAAATTTTATAAGGAGATTGAAGTAGGCTACACCATCAAAACCTCATCATAAACATGTCAAGTCAATTCATCCATAACGAAAGAAAAAAATATTGACATAAAGCAAAAACTGATGTAAGCCTAATTAAGAATTCATTAGCCTCCCATATAGTTGGTCACTACATCTTCTCACATTTTCTTAATCTATACTACTTCTTGTCGACATCTACAAAAAAAAATTTAATTTCTTATTTTATCCCTAACTATTAGAATAAAGTCAATTATACTCACCAATATACTTTCATCTAATTTATGATTTTTATACTTATTTGATTTTTAACTTATTTTGGACTATTTTATAAGCACTACTAAATTCTTTTGAACTCATTTAGTAGTAGTACAGTTACAAACAATTATTTATATCTATATGAAGAAGTAAAGTTCTATATTTATATTTTGGTATGCAATAATATAATAATATTGTAAACGATTTAATCAATTTATTTAACAAAATAAAAATTAATAATTCTATAATATAATTAGATATGCAAATGCCTAAAAGGGTCAAAGAGATACCTAAATAAATGCCAAATTTGATATTCAAAAACTTATAAAATAAATTAATAATTAAATTTAGCAATAATTAAAATATGGATTAATTATTCAGCACATAATTTATTATTTATTAATTACACAAATAATTAACATTTTTTATAAAATAATATTATTTAAATTTGTTTACGTGCAACACACGTTGTACATTGCTATACCTCTATTGTTACTTCCAAGTTCCTAATTAACTTTGTATGAATATCTTTTTCATTCTCTTACATCTTCTTTATTAGTCTCCTAAATAATTATATAGCTTCAATTGTTAACCTCATGCATAAGTCCAATCTGAATCTTAGATCTGTTGTTTTGAATCTTAATTGTTGCTCTATTACTCTCTTCCTAACTTGTTCAACTAAAATTAGTATCTTGAATCCACACTCTTTCTCAGACTCATTTGAAGAGGTGCTCATTTGAAGAGGTGCAGGAACCCTTGCCCTTTTTTCACTAAATCTAGCCGACTAGTATGAAACGCCTCTTGCCTACTTCTCAAAAAACCAGGATAGAGGTGTAACGTGTAGATTTCAGGAAATTTCCTAGTATTCATTTGAAATAAATTGCACAATCCATGGTCAGGAAGATGGCGCAACCCAACTATGGAAATGATGATGCTTATTCGATGTTAGGGGTTTTAGGAGAATATCTTTGTATACTCTGCCAACATGGAAATCTTGCAGATGTATGGGTGATGAAGGAATATGGAAAGAGCGACTCTTGGTCTAAAATAGCAACTATGTCATCTTGGATGTATCCTGAGTTATGTCATCAGTATGAAACACCCTTTTGCATTTCAAAGGATGGTACACTTTTGCTCAGTATGAGGACAAAAGTAGGACTGTACAATCCGAAGGATAATACGGTGAAGTATCCTGAGATTCGTAACTCTGGTGCATGTTTTGTACACAAGACCTATATTGAAAGCCTAGTTTCACCCAATGTGGACAGAGGGGCTGAGAGACAACAACAATGACAAAGGAAACTAATGGTATAATCAGATTGTTGGTTACCCCTCCTTCTCTATGTAAGTTATTAGGATGAACTTTCTTACATGTCTATCTTCTTCTATTATGATATAAGCAATTGTGATCTCAGTGGCACATAATTTTGTGAATACTATATTTGCCAAAATTTGGTTTTATCTCCTATGTTTTGATTGTTATCATGCTTGGAAAAATATAGTTCGCAAAGAAAATGAGATTGTCTGAACTGATTAAAAAAGAAAAATATAGTGATATATATATATATATATATTTTTTTTTTTTTTTTTTTTTTTTTTTTTGCCTTAGGTAGGAAATTAGAGATGGGTAAGTGATTGACTATAAGTCATTGAAGTTGTACTTTCATTGATTGTTGCTTCATTGATTGTTGCAAGCTTGTGTAAGAGTTTGTAAAATCTCTTCTGGATGTATGGCATATGAATTATATTTTTGATTCAATAGCAAATATTAAATACAAAATTAAAACAAAGATGCATTAGTGGGTTATCATCTGACAGAAGTGAAGCAAAAGACTTTACTTCCTTCCTAATTCCACCCCTGAGCAATAGCAAAAAACACAAAACTCTCATACAAGACAAATACTAGAGATATTCCAATGATGCACTAAGAGCAGATTCTGAGGGCTGGCCTTGAACTTAGCAAAGAAAGTCTTTCTCTGATAGAGGTTTGAATCCTGAATAGCAAACTTTGCTGGGATGTAACCAGGTTGTTAAAGATGCTATTGTTTATCTCCCACCATAAATTGTAAACAGTGACAGAGGCAAAGCTTGAGGATAACAACCTTCAATGATTTTCCTTTCCAATTAAAATTTGCCCAGGCAATGAAGTAATTCCATTGGTGTGCTTGAGGTTGCTGGATATACTGCAGCATTAGCTAGTTATTATTTTCAGTTGCAAGGTGAATTGATTATTGAAAGTGTTCATGTGATTTTTACAATTCAACAAGATTATGTTATGAGCCTATTAAGAGGAAAGAAGTGGTCAAAGAATACATCAAGTTTGTTAGGCCAGTCCAAAACCTGTGCCAATTTCAAATCATGAGGACTTAAGTTTCTTATGACCCTATCAGAATGTCTTGCAGAAGTAGAAGGATGTTGTGAACCTTTAGTATTTTGTAATGTTGTTTGCTAGAAATAGTTCTGAGAAAATCATCGATTATTTTCATTTGAACTCACATGGAAATTTTTTTTGCTTTGGGACGTTGGCTTATGCCAAAATTATCTTGTTATTTTCACATTGAAAAAGTTTTAGTACTCTATTCAGCAACTTAGATTCAACTACCATTTTGTTCATGGGCATGGCTCTTGGAAATTTTATCACTAGCTTTATTCGATTTGATTCTTTTTCTTGAGTTTTTGGTCTTTCTTCTATTATTAATTATATAGCATTAGAAGGTAAAGACCGGTGAAATGTTTTTCGTACTTTTAACCAACTTTTGTTTATGGTATCAGTATATGTTGCAATTATTTGGTGCCTTTACTTTGCTTTTACTCTTTGGGATCACTCTTTGTTTGAAAATTGTAGTTTGAATCTATTTAGTATCACTCTTTGATTGCACTGTGTTTAACTAGTCATTCTATTCTTTCATGGCAACACAAGTCACAAAATTCATGTTGAAATTGATTGATCGGGACATACAAATATTAGATCTTGAGAGTTCGGTTGAACAAAAGAGGAAAGAAAATGACACATCGGAGGCTAAGAATGTACAACTGAAATAGACCGTGACACGATTTGAAGCAGAAAAAGAAGAGATGATAGAACAGATTAATAAATTGTTTGTTCATGTCATAACCCAACAATATGCGACTGCTCATGTACCTAAAGTATTTCCACACAGTTCTGAAAATAAAGGAAAGAACAAATCTGCTGTAAAAAAAAAAAAAAAAAAGAGAGGACAAGAAGTTGAGGAAACCGAAAGAGACCCAATGCACTTGAAGAAAGTTCAAACGTCAATGGTTCGAAAGTTGAAAGCAAAAGAGAGGAAAAGGAAAAGGGATGCAAACTATGAGTACAACTTCAAAAAAAAGAGTAAGGAACACATGAAAACATCCAATGACATTATCATCGTTGTTGATTCATCCAAAAAGACAAGTGAAAGGCAAGAGAAAGAAAAGTATGAAAGGGAGATGAAAAGGTTGTGGAAGGTTTGCCAATCAACGGATCCATCCATATACAAAAAATTAAGGCAGATTGAGCAAGCAGAAGGAACTATGTAAGTGTACTGTATCATTTTATGTGTGTATTTCTTTTGGGGGCTGGTTTTCATTATTTTGTGTATGTTGTCACTCTCTCGTTTTTTAAGTATCATAGCACTATAACTATGCATGTCAACAATATGGCCCGGAATGTCCATAAGAAGCTATATAAAAGTCGAAGATGCTTTGAAAGAGTTGGGAGGATCTGAGCTTTACAAAGCATCTTTGACATTTATATAGCTTCCTACGGATATTCTGAGTCATACTGTTGACATGCATAGTTATAACACTATGATACTTAAAAAAAGAAAGAGTGACAACATACACAATATAATGAAAACTAGCCCCCAAAAGAAATACACATATAAAATGATACATTACACTTACATTGTTCCTTCTGCTTGCTCAATCAGTCTTAATTTTTTGTATATGGATAGATCCATTGATTGACAAACTTTCCATAATCTTTTCATCTCCCTTTCATACTTTTCTTTCTCTTGTCTTTTCTGATGAATCAACAACGATGATAATGTCATTGGATGTCTCCATGTGTTCCTTACTCTTTTTTTTTAAGTTGTACTCAGAGTCGGCATCCCTTTTCGTTTTCCTCTCTTTTGCTTCCAACTTTTGAACCATTGACGTTTGAACTTTCTTCAAGTGAATTGGGTCTCTTTTGGTTTCCTCAACTTCTTGTCCTATTTTTTTTTTTTACAGCAGATTTGTTCTTTCCTTTATTTTTAGAATTGTGTGGAAATACTCTAGGTACATGAGCAGTCACATATTGTTGGGTTATGACATGAACAGACAACTTATTAATCTGTTCTATCATCTCTTTTCTTTCTGCTTCAAGTCATGTCATGGTATGTTTCAGTTGTACATTCTCAGCCTCTGATGTGTCCTTTTCTTTCCTCTTTTGTTCAATCGAACCCTCAAGATCTAATATTTGTATGTCCCGATCAATCAATTTCAACATGAATTCTGTGACTTGAGTTGCCATGAAAGAATAGAATGACCGGTTGTTTTGTTGCAATCCAAAATGATGTAACAAAAAATAGTAAAACACAGTGCAATCAAAGAGTGACACTAAATAGATTCAAACTATATTTTTCAAACAAAGAGTGATCCCAAAGAGTAAAAGCAAAGTAAAGACACCAAATAATTGCAACATATACTAATACCATAAACAAAAGTTGTTTAAAAGTACGAAAAGCATTTCACCGGTCTTTATATGAATTGTAAAAGTGCGATACCAAGAGTTAACACCACATAATTTTTTTTAAAAATAAGATTCTTAATAAAGTTTCTGTACTACATACCTGTCCACTCTCCGTGCTGACAATCTTTCGTATGATTGTTCTAAGAATTTCATTATAATTTTATAGCTTCTCAATTTTTTCTATCCTTGATTGATCTTCCTGCCTCATCGCAGAAACAAGTCTAATAGCTTCATCTCTTTCTCTTGTGATTTTCTATTTTTCATTTTCGTTACAAACAAACTGTTCAGATAATCTTTTCTCTGTTGAGTCATTAAGAATCATATCAACTACAGCATCTAGTGGCCTCATTTGCTGCTTCTCTTCTCCTGTACTATCCCCTACATCATAATCAACATGCTCCAACTTATTTTCCCTTTTCATTTGTAATCCTTCGTGATATGATAAACAACTTTTCTTCTTCTGTTCTCTTCAATTTTTTTCTTCATCACCTGTAAACAAACAATGGCATCAATAATAACAATAAATTTTTTAAACATTTGGTATTCTTAGATTTTAACCGTAAACAAATACTGAAACTTACGTCATTGGCCTTGATTTTTGCCAACTTTTTTTGTTTGATGGTCATGCTTAGGTATGTTAAATTCCATTTGAGAAACCTTGAAAAATTTTTTGAGCAATCTGGTGTGATAATTGATGTGTGCTTACAAATCCAAAACTGCAAAATTAAAATACAACATTAAAACAAATGTGTAATGTTTATAAAACAACAACTCAATAAATTGAACAGTCGACTTTTCTTTAAAACACTAACCGATATTACAAGGACGCATCCAGTGACTGTGTCAGGTTTCTCTCTCTTTTTTGTAAGAGATGAAATCAATGCATTGAGTATTGATTGAGACCAGTTATCCAGACCCTCTATGTATGAAACATACCCCCAGTTTAGTGTGTGCCCCGTCGTGGGGAAAAAAAACTGTGACTAACAAGTAAAGACACAGTAATCTGGCAACATCCTCAACATCATTTACTGTGATCCCTCTTGATGCTTGGATAAGTCTGCTTTTTATAATTGGTGCTGTCAACCTTCGATCATTTTTAAATCTCCGTTCAACAAATGGAGTCAACACCCTCCCATTTAATGTTGAGTCAATTTTCTCGAAACCGTCTTGAATCCCAAATATCAAACTCACATCATTTCTCCGCATTTTGACTTCTTTGGCCCCTATACAAAATCTGGAAGTGTTGGCATTGAAGCATAAAATTATCTCAAGGATAATGTTGTCACTTTTTCTGCACCATTTTCTGTCAACATGTTTGTCTATAATGCTCTCAAATAGAAACCAAAATGGGGTATTCTTCAACGTTCTCTTGTACTCTTCATTGAAAATAATTTCTTCCATTGCCCTTATAATAGCAATCATATTAGATCTATATTGTGGATCATATTTATCCACATTCTAAGGTTGTTCAGATTTTTGTTCTTCAACTACTTCCCTACACTTGAACTCATTTTTTTGCTGATGATGACCGAGTTTTTGCCATGCCCCTGTATAGTGTCACGGTATACTATAACTATGTTACAATAACTAAAACCAAAATTAACATCGAAGAGTTTAGTTCAATAATATAGATCTAATATATTTAACATTCATGAAAAACGAATGTATTTAACATTAAGAAAAAAATTTAAACAAATTCTCACTAAAAATAGGGTTGTTTAATTTATGTTTTCAGATTTTTCAAGGAAAAAAATTCAAAATAGGTAATTTTGTACGTCAAAGAGTTTCGAATTCTCAAAAAAATTCATCATACAGTAACACAATGCATAGTATTTCTGAAACTCCTATAATTCTTGTAAAACGAATGTATTTATCATTAAGAAAAAAATTAAAGACATTCTCACTAAATTTATGATAATGTATCTTATGTTTTTGAATTTTTAAACTAAGATAAAATCTAAAATAAATGATTTTCAAAACACTCAAATCTATGTTGAGTATATTTGAATTATCAAACAGATTCACCATACAGAAACATCATATCTACAAAGACTCTTATAATTCGTGGAAACTAAAATCAACGTCGAAAAGCTTTGAATTCTCAAAAGAGAAAAAAAATACAGTAACACCATGCATACTGTTTCTGAGACTGTTATAATTAATGGAAAACTAATGTATTTAACATTAAGAAACAAATTTAAAGACATTCTCATTAAATTTAGGGCTGTGTATTTTATTTTTTCATATTTTTCAAGCAAGAAAAAACTTCAAATAGATGTTTCTCCAAAAACCAAAATCAACATCGAACAGTTTCGAAATCTCAAAAAGAGATTCATCATACAGGAACAACATGTTTACAGTTTCATGGAACTCTTATAATTCATGAAAAACAAATGTATTTAACATTAAGAAGGAAATTTAATGACATTCTCACTAAAATTAGGGTTATGTATCTTATGTTTTTGGATTTTTCAAATAAGAAAAAATTTAAAATAGCTACTTTTCAAAAAACCCAAATATACGTCGAATATCTTCAAATTCTCAAAAGAGATTCACCATACAGTAACAGGAACACAATGCTAAGAGTTTCATGGAACTCTTAAAATTCATGGAAAACTAATGTATTTAACATTAAGAAGCAAATTTGAAGACATTCTTACTAAAATTAGGGCTGTGTATTTTATGTTTCATATTTTTCAAGCAAGAAAAAATTTCAAATAGGTGATTATTCAAAAACAAAATCAATGTCGAATAGTTTTGAATTCTCAAAAGAGATTCACCATAAAGTAACATCATGCCTACAATTTTATGAAACTCTTGTCATTCATGGAAAGTGAATGTATTTAATATTAATGATCAAATTTAAAGACACGCTCACTAAAATTATGGCTTTGTACTTTATGTTTTCGTATTTTAGAAGCAAGAAAAAATTTCAAATGGGCGATTATCCAAGAACCAAAACCAATGTCGGAAAGTTTTGAATTCTTAATAGAGATTCACCAAATAGTAACATCCTTCCTACAAATATTGAAACTCTTATAATTCATGTAAAATGAATGTATTTAACATTAAAAAGAAATTTTCACTAAAATTACGGTTGTGTATTTTATGTTTTTAGATTTTTTTAGCAAGCAAAAATTTGAAATAGGTGATTTTATTACTGTTGGAGATGACCCACTGAAGCCAAACCAAATATTCGCAATAATTTCGGCGAAATAAAGCCAAACTTATTTTTTCAACCAAATTTGGGTTTATCTCTTTCTATTTTGGGGATTTTTCAAGTAATAAAAAAAAAAGAGATTAAAAAGTTAGAAATTAATACCTTTAAAAAAGAGAAACTCAAATACTCTGGCGAAGTACCACAAAGATTTCCAACGAAGAGCCTCCCAAAGACCAAAATCAATGTCAAAGACCTTCCCCTTCTTTCTCCATAATCTCGAATGTAAGCACACTGAGTTTTTTTTTCCTGCAACCCAAAACTCTTGCAACAATAATAATGGGGAATCCCCAACTCCAACCACTGCAACCAACGATTCTGGCAACTGCTTTTGAAGATATGGAAAAAATATTTGTCAAACAAATATGAAAGATTTACTTGATGGTAAGGATTGAAATTCCCAAATCTTTGGAATTCAAAAAGTTTTAGTAAATGTTTGGTTTTGAAAATTGTCATTGATGACTCTTTGGTAACTAATGACAAGAAATTAATGATACTATTGATTCCCAAAACCAAAGATCTCTTTATCTTCCTCATCTAAAAAGGGTTTTAATGACTTTTTTTGAAGAGATATATTTTTATTCTAATTATTTTAAAAAATATATTTTTATCCTATTAAATCTTTAGAGAGGTACTGGCCTCCTTAATGACACCTATTTTCTACATCTAAAAAAAATCAAATCCAAACGGGCCCATCGTCACTGTGTCAGTAGCCGAAAGACTAACACAGTACAGTCTTTCAACAAAGATAATGAGCTATTTATTATTATCTGTCGGTTGTGATGACGTCTGCAACGCTAAGGTGAGAAGCTTCTATAGAGTCACAATGATTATGTGAGATAAAACTGAATGATATTTTCATGGGCTTTCACTATGATACTGTCAAAAAAAACTTTGGGCTTTCACTATGGTACCGTCAAAAAAAACTTTCAGTATCATATTTCTAAAATTTATTATTTTAACGGTTATTTATATAATTTTTGTGAGAAATTTTATAAATAAAAAAATTATCTCTTTTGTGATTAATTTACTAATGTTTTGGGTATTTTTATCACTATTGTGAGTATTTTTACTACGTTTATGGTAATTATTTTTACCAATTTTCGTCAATACAAAAAAATTTATCAATTTTTGGGTGATTTATCACATCTATGAGTATTTTTACCACGTGCGGATATTTTTACTACTATTATCATAACTATTTTTACTATTTTTTTGGTACCGCAATAATGATAAAAGTGTCCACAACTGTGGTAAAAATTATCATAAATGTGGTAAATTTTAGTATAGTACCGAAATTTTGAATTTTGGTACCATAGTCGAGTCCAATTTTCATATGGCAGATTTTGAGAATCAACAGAGTTATTAAAGAATTTAGGACTAGAATTCTTTTTGAATCAACAGGCCTAGAGTAGAAATGAATCAATAATTTATTTTGATCATCTCTTCTCATTCATTATACCAATATTTCTACAGCATCAATGAGCAACACCTAGAAAAGGCATTTAGCTCTACAAAATCATTTCTTTAATTCTCAGTAACCACATCAGCGATCATTTGATCCTAAGGTATCCTTAAGCATTTTTGATATGATCCATCATGAATGTTCTTCCAACCATTTATACCAATATGAGTCCTATTTGGAACTATTTTAGTCGAATGTAGAATATTTCCTTCTCAGCCTTTACCATTGGAGTTTTCAGAATTATTGGTCAAAGAACCTGTTATTTTATAACTCTTTTCCCATCATATCATTTTCCCAACTTGTTTGGAAATAAGTTGAGAAAACTACTAGAGAAATAAGGTTGAAACGTATAGTAATCTAGTACAAAAATTGAGTTTTTATGGCCTTAATTTTGCCTTTTAGTCATCTAATACAACTCAAACATAGAGCGATAAGACAAGTGTCGGTCAGCCTAAATCATATGTTGCTAGTAAAAGTTCTACAGCAATTTGTTCAACAGCACCATTTGATGTGTGTGGATGTGTGAATGTGTGTAGTTCTAGGCATGAGTGTGTGCAAATGCGTATGGGGTATACACAGGTACAGAACCAGAATTTCATCTTGTGGGAGCAAATAATAGTATAGTCAATAATTTTTTTAATAGAATTTATTAAGAAGTTATTGTTAATGATAAATTTTTAATTGTATAGAACATATCAAAATCAACTTTTATGTGATACTATTATTAAAATCAGTCTTGGTCATAAACTCTAAAAATTTGCTCTTAACTACCATAAAAAAAATTAGTTTGTGAAAATATGGTCACGCTCTTATTCTCTTATTTTCGATATGATGTAATGGTTAAGAATAAATTGTCATCATAAATAATAATTTCACATCCATAATAAAAAACGAGTAGAATCAATGCGTTGTTTTTTTTTTTTATATATGAAATTTCAGCATAGAAAGTATCCTTATTATGCTTGTGCTTGTAATTCTCAACACTACTCCCCAATTTGACACGAGATCAATATAAAGCTTCTAGGTATGAGTTTAGTCTTAACAAGTCTGAGTCATACCTAGTTTGCTTGTCAGACCCATTTAACAAAATATGTCAACATGGACCCTAATATACTTTGTATGACTCCAATATTTATACACGCTTACGTACCTGACATGACACAAACCTATTATTAACCTTAATATGCATCAATTGGACGTAAACCGATTCAAGATAAGCAATTACGATTCAAGAAGTGAAGGATAAATGCTATTTGAATTTACTGACTTGATTTTTTGACCTTATTAATCAGTGTCCTTGAGTTGACAATATGCCTCAATACCAATACTGATTAAGACCCACTACTATTATAAGGACAATGATTCATTAGATTAATAAATTAGATACAAAGAGTTTTATTACATATTTTACACAACCTACCCGTCAAAGATGAGACTCAAAGGAGGTTAAAAAAATATAACACAGCCAACTTCATTGCCCTACACCTCAATCTGTGTTCTATGTTACAGCAATGGACCTCGGCACAATAGTAAGATTGGTTCATTGTGATCTTATCATCACAGGTTCAGAATATAGGAACAACCCTTACATGCAGGATAACTTACTTTCACAGACCCTGCAGTAAGAAGAGTCTCATGCACAACGTAATTTTAAATTAAAGGATGGAGCAGTATCCACCCTCATAGGGCAAGTAGTTAACAGCCACAAGCTGGCATTCTTTGCAACATGTAGGGAGGGGATTGTGAACTTCTTTAGGCTCTGCTGGTTTAGGTTTTGGGGGTCCAACACTCATGATCTCTGCTCCCTTCCCTATCTTCCTTATTTGTTCCACTAATCTCACAGGATCAACATCACCCACCACTGTTAATGTCCACTTCTCAGCATCCACAGCTATAGAATCTATTCCTGTAAATTCCACACCATCGAATATGGTACATATGACAATATAAATAATACGCGGTCAGAGATAAAATAAATTCTTGCAAATAATTCGGAGTACGATTTTTGTTTCCTTAACTAGGGGTGTTGAACGAGGCTCAATTGTTGAGATTGGGTTCTTGCTCATACTCGGCTCAACAGAATTTGGAAATCTTCGAACCCAACTTGAGAAATATCGAAATCTATATAATCAATCCTAATGTGAAACCCTCAAAATTAAATTTTTTCAAACACCTGTTTGAAAAGCAAGAGGGGTGGAAGTGTTTGGTTTGGAGCTATAAGTTTGGACTTGTAATCTGAATTTAGTCTAGTGAAGACGAGACGGGCTGATACTGAGTCGAGCTCGAGCTGCTTAGATCATTTAACAAACCTACCTTGAAGCTTAGCAACCGTTTTTAGTACGGCTGTTCTGCATTTTTGGCAGTTGAAACTGACCCGCAACACTGTTTTCTGTTTCATGGTTGAACAAATGCAGGCAAAAAAAAAAAAACACAATTAAGTTTATCCAAACTTGATAAATATAGCAGAACTCATCTCACAGAGCTGATTGAAAATGAAGGAGATAATGTGGAAAACCATACCTTCATGTTAGTGATAGTTAGAAACCTGCTTTCAACAATATTATCACTGAAATGTGGAGTAGAGAAGAGCTATTTATACGAGTAAACTATTCAATCATTGATAATGATTGGTTCACTTGAAAATCTGGTGGATTTGGAGCACTGTAGATAGGTGGACTCAGCCAACTAGGTTCATTTATTCTCCGTTTTGGTATGATGGAAAAATAAATTATAGAAAGTTAAAGAGATAAATAAAATATTATGTTTGGTAAAGAAGAAAAATAAAAAAAATAAAAAAATGGATGTATTAACTTTCTTTTTAACTCACCAAAATCAATCCCTCCAAAATCGAATGAAAAGTTAATTATTTATATTGAGATGTATCTTATTTGTCTATATATTATGCATACATTAATTTCATATAAAAATATAATGATAAAATATATATTTATATATATATTTTTTAAAAAAATTAAAATTAATATTAAAATAATAAAAAAAAAAAATTTTAAATTTTAAATTAAAAAAAAATATTTTTTTCATCTTAATTATGGATGAAAATTTTCGATTCAACACGATTCGAACTCAACAAGAATTTTATGACATGAACTTGAAAATGACGTAACATGAGAACAAAGAATTTAAAAACTCATAATTTTATGACTCACCACGAATCTAACACGACACGACTCGACTCGATTGTTACCCCTAATATTAGACCCAAAAAAAATTAAAAAAAAAATTTGTCATTTTTATTTTTCATCTATACAACCACACACAAAGGAAGAAAAGTATATCATTCCTACTTTCTATCTTTGAAGGAAAGAAAGTATATCCTTCGTATTTTTCATCTTTCCTATCAAACAGAAAATTAGTGTCAAAACAGTCGTGGTGGTCTGTACAAGATACGAGACATTTCGTAATTACAGTATTCAAGAATGGTCAAATATATGTAATTTTATCTCAAATGTAAAGAGACTATTTTTGTGACACACTACATGACTTATTTTCATAACTTAAACCGTCACATTCAGGCCACAATAAAACAATATTATTAATATTGTTTCACCAAAATTGAACAAAAGACATATAAGCTGAAGTTTTTTTCCCCAGAAACACAACAAAGTTTATACATCTACTTTCATGTCAAAAAGCCATGATCTTCTTGTTAAATTGTCACTTTCACATAACTTTTGAATTCCATTAATTATATCTCATTTAAAGAAAGTTTGCATAAATTTAAAAAGTATCCAACCCTCTGCTCCATTTTTATAGCTTGCGTTCATGATGACTTATAAAATTTAAAAAATATTTTTTAAATAAGAATTTTTCAATAACATTTTTATCAAATAAATACTGTTTGGATACTCAAACAAACAAAAATACTCAAATAAAAAGTACTTTATCAAAAAATTTATTTGTATTATTAAAAATAAAAAACATGTATCCATGTCTCAATTTTTAATATATCTCCAAAACATATATTAAGCATTGAGTGGTAGTGATGGGCGGCAGTGGATGAGGGTGGTAGAATGAGAAGTATTTTGTAAAGAAGTGAATTTTAGAAATTAGAAGTTTTTTTTTTTTACTTTTACTTACTTATTTAATTATTAAATTATTTTTAACTTATTAGGAAGTAATTAAAATAAATTGTTACAAAACACTATTTTTTTCAAAGTATTATGTAGATATTAGATCTGTCAGTTGTGATGATGTCTGAGTGCTGAGGTGAGAAGCTTGGATTCAGTCACATTGCTTGTGTTGTTATGAAATTGGATGGCTATTTTCACAACCATCTTTGATTATATTAGGATGAATAACACTTTGCACCCTAAATATTTTTTTATTTTTAAATTTATATAATAATAAAATAAAATTATCACATTATTCCTTCAATCAGATGGTAAATACACTCATTGACTCTCCGAACAAATATTTTTGTTGTATTTGTCATATTATCATGCATAATACTCAATTTTAAGAATTTTCAATAGAAATTTAGTATTAAATTTTCGTAAAAAAGAGCACATTACTACCTTTTTATTTGACTGAGAGTATAATATAAAAATTTCAATCTTTCGATCTCTCGGGGCAAAGAGCCGTTTGCCCAATGGGGTGGATGTTTGGTCAAAGTTGTTTCGAAATTCTTATATGCGATTGTCATGTAGGTAAGGCACTTTCTAATAATCAGCCCTATTTCTTTCTTTCTTTTTTTAATTGCATTTAGAAGATGACCTTTTCAACTGCAAAAGCCAGCCAGGTCCATCCCTAACCTTTCATGTTCAAAGTATTGGCTGATATCGATACAAGTCGATCGAGTCGTATTAATCTCGGCACCTTTTAAGAGGATATCGTTATATAATACGTATAAATTTTGGGTCTCACACAATTCGGCCGAGTTGTATCTGAGTCAATCCCGAGTCGTCAAAATATCGTCACCAAATTGGCCAATATAATTCCACGACCCCGCGAGCAATAAGCTCTTCGAGTAGATAGCCAATACCATGATTTTGAACCATGTTCAGAAAAATTGGTAACTAATTTATCAACAAGGAGAGAGCGAGGGCAGGAGGAGATTCTAGTGTTTATGCTCCCAAGTGATATATCACGGGTTCAAACTTAGCAATCAAATTTCTTAAAATGAGATTAAATTAAATTATTTATCACTTGTCTCTTTTAAACCCCGTTATATGTGGAAGGGCTTGTGGACTAGGTACACCCTTTTCAATGGACATATTTTGTTGTGATTGAAGTATTTGTTACTATAATTCAAATCTTGTGAACCTTAATGCTCGTCCCATATTAGGGTGCCTCTTTCAAAGGCCATGTGTCTAAAGCAAAAAAAATATTATAGCCAGCTTCGCTAGTAAATAAGATAGTTTTTCTTCTTGTTAGAGGCTAGCTTATACTGCATAACCTTAACTCTGCTCTTTCAGAATACCGGCCTTAGTTTAGCTCTTGTTTGGCTTTAGCTACGAACAAGAACTCACGACTCAAACTGTAGAGACAATTATGTATAAAAGCAATGTAGTGCTAGTCCATATTCGTGTGTGTCACGAGGTTAAATTTCTCACCAAATTTCTGTCTCGTGATGGCACTAAGATCCAACACTTAGTCTCAGCCAAGCACTCAGAATGCACACAGAACGCACATAGAACAGAGAATGGACAGTAAGTAAACACACAGGCAAGACACACAGAATTTACAGGCAATATCCAAACCTTTCTTTCTCAATAAAGTATAAGGAACTCAGTCTTAGGGTCTATTTACAAAAATGTGTCAACTCTCTTATTTCACTACAGACCCCAAGCACCCTATTTATAATATTCAAGGTGGCAGTTACAAGCCCAACTGCCTAGACACATGTCTGTAATTCAAATGCTACTAGAGGTCTATTGTGATTGGATGACAGGGAAGTTATAACTGGTGTCTGTATGCTTGTCTGAATCTGACAGAGATCCACATGTTGTGCACTTGCCAGAAAACTGCCCAGAACTGCCACCACCTGCAGAGCACATGCCCAACTTCCTCACATGTTGTGCATGAGTTAGGAGCTCTCAGTATCTGAATTGCATTACATTCGTGTCTAACCATGGCCCAGCCCATGGCTCATTATTCAAGCTAGTATCGCCCCACAATTCAAGCCCCCCGCTTCCTTGCTTGCATGCTGACTTGTGCCCATGTGCATAGACTGTCTCCCTCAATCATGCATGGTACTTCTGTCATTTTGTCTAAGGCATGGGTGCCTATGGGCGAGACTACCCGATGTCAAATGCTGCCAATGGCTAAGGGGGTAACAAACCACCCCCACCAGAAGAGCTCAACGTCCTTCGTCGAGAGGTTGTCTCAATACTCCTTGATCTGTTTCTCAAACTACCAAAGAGTCACATCTTGTTCCCAACTTGCGTCTGCTTCGGAACCCCCTTTCCAATGCACTAGAAAATCAGTCTTGCGATTCTTCTTACTTTGACCCATGTTCTTGTGAGACAAAATCTTGTCAACCTCTCTGTCAAACTGTTCCTGATGATAGGCGGAGCCCTCCTAGCTTGTTTTCTTCCAACATTCAGTAAGTCTTCCTGAAAAGGCTTCAGAAAACTCACATGAAAAGTTGGGTGAATTTTCAATCGATCTGACAGCTTCAAGCGATAAGCAACATTCCCGACCTTCTTCATCACCTCGAAGGGGCCATCATATTTGGGAACCAGCCCACGGTATTCTACCTTGCTGTTGATCCTTTTCCACACAACACAGGAGTCAATTTCTGCAAAACTAGATCACCAACTTGAAATTCTAGTGGTCTGCGGCCTTGATCAACATACTTTTTCATTCGTCGGGCTGCTTTGGCCAAGCTGTCCTTTGCCTCATCAAGCAGCTCCTGCTTGGAACAGGCAAACCGATATGCAACAAGATATTTTCCTCCGGTCCTCTGTTTTACCATTTCATGGGGAGTAAGTGGTTGATGTCCTATAGCCAAATCATAGGGACTCATTCCGGTTTCTAAAGATTTATGTAAGTTGTAACAAAACTAAACAGTGTTCATAAGCTCCACCCAATTTTTCTGACTTGCAGTGACATAATGTTGCAGGTAATCCTCTAACAAGGCATTAATCTGCTCAGTCTGTCCATCAATCTGGGGATGACTTACTGTAGAGAACTTCAACTCAGAACCCATAAGATTGAACAGCATAGTCCAGAATCTGCCAGTGAACCTGGTATCACGATCACTGACTATATCTTCAGGCAATCCAAAATACTTCACCACATACTTGTAGATCAATTCTGCAGCAACATCTGCAGGGCAAGCATGAGGTGCAGGAATGAACACCGCATACTTAGAGAATCAATCGACCACCACCATGATCGAACGCATGTCATCAACCTTTGGCAGATTGCAAATGA